GTCTTTGAGAGAATCAAAGAATATGGTTTTAAGATCAGTGAAGGAAAATGTGAATTGTTTTTGTCTAGACTTAAATATTTAGGACAAATTATTGATAAAAACAATAGATGACCGGATTCTTCAAGAGTGAACACAATAAAGGACATGCCTGCTTCAACAAATGTAACAAAGTTAAAAGCATTTTTAGGGTTTGCTAATTACTATTATATATATATATATATATATATATATATATATATATATATATATATACCAAACATGCATGAATTAAGAGAACCCTTGAATAACCTCCTAAAGAAAGATTTGAAATAGAATTGGACAGATAAATGTCAAAGTGCTTTTGAAAAGATCAAGAAAGTCTTAACATCGGATTTGTCATTTAAAAATTGTGGTTGCATCAGATGCAAGTGATTTGGGTATTGGAGTAGTGATACTACACAAATATGAGAATGGAACAACTAAACCAATAGGTCATGCTTCAAGATCATTGAAGGCAGCTGAAATAAGTTACAGCTAGATTGAAAAGGAAACATTGGCAATCATATTGTCTATGAAAAAGTTTCACAAATTCACACATGGTAAAGAATTCATACTACAGACAGACCATCGTCCATTATTGTCCACATGTAAATCAAAAAAGGGATGTTCCTATACATACAGCAAATAGACTGCAATGCTGGGGAAATATCCTATTGAACTATAATTATAAAATGAAATTTCTACCATCCCAAAAATTAAGTCATGCAGACAGATTATCTAGACTAATACCAAGATTCTGTGAACCACTTGAAGACACAATAATTGCAGAGATAAGGGCCGAAAATTAAATTTATAATGTATTATACAATACTGTAAGAGAACTACCCATAACATTAGAGGAAATAAGAATTAAGTTGGAAAAAGATGACTTTATAATGAAAATAAAGAAGCAATTAAGATTTAAAGAAAAAATATCACCAGAAATAATACATCTTCATTATGTAATAATGTACTTATGTACACAGAAAGAATTTTGATACCAGCATCATTGCAAAAACAAATGTTAAAAGAATTTCATGTTGAACATCCAGGAATTTCTAGAATGAAATCTTTAATGAGGTGTTATATTTACTGGCCAAAAATGGATCAAAATATCAAACATTTAGTGAAATCATGCAGCAGTCACCACTTATCAAAGTTCAACCTTGGGCAAAAAAACAACATTTTATGGTCCAGAATACATATAGACTTCACAGGACCGTTAAAGGGAGCATACTATCTAGTGGTAGTCTACAGTTACATTATATGGGCAGAAATATTAAAATGTAGAAGACTGATTACTATCCTTCACAAGATTTTTACAAGGTTTAGTGTTCCTGATTCTATCATTTTAGACAATGGGACTCAATTCACATATAGTGAATTTAAGTTTTTTGCAAATCATTAGCAATAGAACATATTACAACTCCCCCTTATCACTGAAGATCAAACAGACAAACAGAATGGTTTGTCAATACAGTTAAAAGAGCATTAAAAATGTCAGAAGGAGAGGAGTCAGATGAAATAATGCTACAACAATTTTTCAGTGTTTACAAAATAACACCAAACCCGAACACTGTGGCTGGAATGTCGCCTGCAGTGTTGATGTTTGCCAGGAAGATTAAGTTGGTATTTAACAAATTACTACTAGAATGAAAGACGAGAACATCAAGGAATCAAAATAATATAAATAAATATTTTCAACCTGGTGAAAATGTACCAATGTGGCAAAGAATTCTGGGAAGATGGTGTTATAAAAAAACAGGTCGGCAAAATGACATACATGGTACAGGGACAAAGGTGGGAACATAAGTGACACCTTAATCAGTTAAAATGGAGATTCACTGATTTAGTAAGTCCACAAAAAGAGGTACCGATGGAAATATTGTATGACATGCTTGACGTACCCACACCACCAGAAATTAGTGAACCAGGGAGGTACACTAAAAGAAAAAGAACGGCAACGGAACATTTGAATATTTAACTGAAGCTGAAGAAAAATAGACTGCAGAGGAAGTCATCTCAAAGGGGAGGTGTTATATAGAAATAAAGTGTCACTGCTGAGACTTGAGTTTGAACATAGATGGCCAGTGAACGAATACAGGTGATCCCATTATTGAATTAAGTAGACCATGTGACCATAGAGGATATTCATATATAGTAGATAGCATGTGTCTAATTGATCACCATTTCTAGTCTATCCTCTATACTATATGGATCTGTATTCCTAATCTGTCCTCTATTACTATTCAGATCACTATCCTTTACTCTATTCACTATATGGATTTCCTTTTGAGTGAGTATTATTGAGTGCAAGAGCTATTCGAAGGCATCTGACACCAGTAGTTCTCAATGGTGTTACTATAGTTTTATCTGTCATTACAAAGTCTCTACTACAACGAGCATTATGAAAGTGACAACGAGTATTCATTGACCTCAGAAGAAGTGGCAACGAGTGTTCATTGACATCACAAAAATAAGAATAATGCTTATCACATTGAGCTCCCTTTCATGAGGATAAAATCAAGTCTGTGTCTTCTAACCACCGAGTAGTTCTTCCGTTTTAAACAGAGTTGCTGAGAAACTCAAGCAACAGAACTTACTTAAAGATTATGCGGAGATATTTCAACATGAGCATGAAGGTATTATCAAATGTTTTGAAGCAGTGCCCAAAAATTTTGCTAATCATATTTGGATACCTCATAGGCCTGTCATTAAAACTGAGGAGCAAACTAGAACAAAAATTAGACCTATTTTTAACTGCTCTCTAAAAACTAAGGGGAAATACTCCCTAAATGAAGCAGCCTGTCCAGGTATCAATTTAATGGGAGATATGCTACAGTTACTGCTATTATTTAAATCAAATATGTCATGCTAGCAGACATACTTAAGGCCTTTCTCATGGTAAAGATTAGATTACTTGAAGACCTTAACAGATTTTGTTTCTTTATTAAAGAAGGAGATAAGCTTGTTTGTTTTAGATATACAACCTTTATTTTTGGTTTTAATGCTAGTCACTTCATCTTAAATTACAAACAAGTTTCCCTGATGATAGTTGTACTGACATGTTAAAGAAAAATTTCTATGTTGACAATTTGATTAAAACAGGTAATTCTGTTGATAATTTATCAAAACTATATACAGTAGCTAATGAACATATACAAAACGTAATACAATACAAACTATGAAAGACTTAAATCCCAAATGATAAATGATCAAAATTTTGTAGAACATGGTTGTGAGCTCAAAAATGTTTAGTATTCTACTCTAGAAGACAGACTTCAGATTTCTCTATTGACCATGCTGTTAATACCAAATGGCAAATATTACCACAGACTGCTAGGGTTTTCAACCAACTGTCTTTGTGTTTACCTGTTACTACCAGGGTTAAAATGCTTTTGAGAGATTTGAGGTCTCAAAGATTGGACTGGGATGATGATGTATCAGGAGAATTTCAGGCTATATGGTCTGCCTTATCAAGCAACCAAGCCAAGCTTGATTCCTTAACATTCCCTAGATGTGTAATCGGTGAGGACAGTCCTGCTGATTTATACATATTTAGTGATGCCTCTAAGGAGGCTTACAGGTTTTCAGCTTATAGTGTACAAAACAGTCCTACTTGGTATTGGCAAAAGCTAAAGTGGCACCTATGAGTTTACCTACGCTGAAATTACTAGCCATATTTTTGGCTATCAAGTGTTTGTTACCATTATTAAATGCTTACTCCTGAATTACGCACAAGTTGTGTTGTCATGGCTATTGTCTGACAAAATTAAAACCAAAATCAATTTGTGAAGAATAGACTCAAGGACATTCATCTAATGATTGGAGAACTGAAAGAAATAAGTTTTGTCAGTAAAATTTAAATATGTTCATACTGAACAAAACCCAGCTGACTTACTCACAAGGGAGATAACCTTGGAAAAATTTTGGCAAATGTAGATCTTTGGACATCGGGACATGAATGGCTCAGTGGAAGTCCTATTAAGTGAGCTTTAGTGTTTAAGTTCGAGGAATAAACCATTGTGCAATCAACTTCATTAAATTGTACCATAACTATAACTTGGATTTTAATAAATTAATTAATGCAACAGCTAATATATTTAGGATCCAAAATAGATTAAAACACAGACCAGTCAATGTGCAAAAACTTTATTTGTTTAAGGTAATGCAACAACAAATCTTTGCCTGAAGAAATTGCTTACATTCAATACCCCCAAGGTAAAAAAAGTATCTGAATTAGTAACAAATTTGAACTTATTTATAAACCAAAGAGGAGGGAGGGTAATCAGAGCTAAAGGTAGAATAGGTAAAAGAAATATCTTCACAATCCTCAGGAAGTCTGGACACTGAGACATCACTGCCACTGACATAATGACAAGAAATCACAAGACCTCAAAGAACAGTTAACAGGATGCTTCTTTTAAAGATAAGTTTGCAATATACCATTTTTTTTGTAACACCATTATTGTAAACCTTCTTCCTTTCTCTTTTTTTCTGTTATACTCATAAAAGTTTGAATCTCAAAGGCTTGGTTTTGTTCTTTTTCTCATGCTGTGTCACACCACTGAATTATCCTTTTTTTCTACACCGGTAATTACTTATCTTTGGAACAAACTTAAATGGGTGAAATACCAAAAATAAATCAAAACAAGCTTTCATAAAATCAAAAAGAATTTCTGCAACAACTGATGTATGAAACAACAGGCACCTTGGTATTTATTTCTAAAATACTTTAAATATAATACCAAAGAAAATATAGTACAGAGACAAAAGAAAGAAGCTTGTGCTAGACTTACGTTCGCTTTAAAAAAATGAACATTCTTCTTTGAATTTTTCATGTAAGTTACTTTGAATATATCTGTTCTCATACTTTCTTTTGCAAATGCTACAACAATGTGTTCATCTTCCTTCTATGTTAAGAATATAACACATTTAAAACATTAAACTTTAATTGTATGGTTTTTCTGGAATTAGCTCACCTTTTTCAAGACTTCCAATATTTGTCTTTAAGATGTCTTTGTCTTTGTCCACTTCAAGTTTAGAATCTTCCAGGCTCTTCAATTTTCTGGTAAGATTATCTTTTGCCTTTGTCAGACGATCATTCTCACGCTTTAAACTGGCTATTTCATCTTCTCTTTTCTGCACAAATAAGGTAAGTTTTTCTATAAACATGTTACACATTGAATTGTTAGACTTTATTTCACCCCAAAATGTCGCACTTTTTACAATATTTAATTTTAAAATCTTATTTCCCAACATTATGATTCACTACATAATTTGTATAATAATCTTTACCAAGGAGCTGTTTTATACTTTCATTTTTGATGTTTTAAGTTCAAATATTAAATTGAACAGAAATCAAGATTATTATATTGAATTTTGTTCTTTATATTAATTTAATATTTGAACTTTATGTTAGACATAAAGATTTAATAGAATTATCAGTTCATCAATTCTATTGCACTCTCAGAGAACTACATATTTATGTGCCATGAAAATTTACTAAGTTTACTCAAGTAAGGTATATCAAATAATTCTACCAAGCCAACAGGTAATTATTTTCAAATGTCTCCCACAATCTTTCATAGACATTTAGCATACACATACTATAAGAAAATCTCTCAGTACACACCTTCATTCACTCCTCTTGTATTTTTTTCATTTATTTTTGTTCAGGTAATAAAATATATTGAGATTAGTTGTACATCATTGTTCGTATATTCATTCTTACTATCATGTTTGAAGAAAATCCAATGCACTGAATGTCATATCAATCAATATCACCTAATATTCCTCAACAGGTGTCTTTGTTAATATGAAAAATCACATTCCACACAGACATAAAACATTCACAATTTTCTTTATATTTCTTGTAAACATTTAAATTCAAATTTCCAGATTTCAGTTTTGGTATTTCCTAAATCAAAATATACATTTTGACTATATCAAGTAAAAGCAAAATATTATATACAGAACAGCCATGTTTGTGTGTGTGAATAGCACCAGTAAAATTCAGACAGGAGTTTTTTGCTCAGGACAGCCATCATAATAACCATCATCATCATTGGAAAGTTTAAATGTTTAAAAGATGTGAAGAATCATAAAATATCAAAAAGATAAAATTACCTTTAGTTCTTGAGTGTTGTAAACAATTTCATGGTTCATTTGTTCTGCAATGTCCAATTGATTTTTGTAGTCCATCTCTGCTTTGTGAAGTTTAGTCTCTAGTGCCTTGTTATCTCGCACATTTCTTTCCAAAGTCATCTGTCAGTATAAAGGAGTATTTTAAACTATAATACCTAACAAATGTTATTTCCAAATATTTTCTTAACTGATTAGAACAATTCTACTTTATTAAAAAGTTATTTTAATGCTTCTTGTTATGAAAATATTATGAATTTATTTTTATTTTAGAAACATTAAATACAACTTCTTTTTTAAAAATTTCTTTAGAATGAATTCCTGTTTCAAATTTCCTTAAATTTATACAAATGTTTGCCTTCTTTACTTGCTAACAGAAAGAAAATATCTTTTAATCATGGACAACCATTAACGCTGAGATAACCCCAAAAAGGTGTTTGTATTTCTTTTCAGCTTTCATATTTCATTCATTTTAACCATTAATATTGAGTAAAAGAAGATTAACCAAGAAAGATTAAATTGATTTTTTTAGTATTTCCAGTAATTTGATACAAAATGATAATCATGGACGACTGCCAAATATTAAAAATGATCAGAAAATTGAATCCAAAGAAACCTTTAATCTTACATGCTTTACTATATACAGTCTTTTAGTGACAAATAGGCCCACTTTTACTCACTTTCATTTCTTCCAAGTTATTTTCTCTATCCATCACCTCCATTTTGTATTTCTCCTTCTGACTCTGAACAGACCTCAATTCATTAGTGATATTCTCCAGTTCTTCTTCTATCTGTTTCATTTCACGTTCCATTTTGTCTTTTTTGCGTGCTTCACGCTGAGATTCAGATTTACGCATTTGAATATCATGCTGAAGCTGCAAAAAGAAAATACTTTTCAAATTCAGATACTTTTTCAAGTAACAAAATAATATTGATAACTTGATTTTTATCACACTATACATCTGGATATTCATCAACAAATGAACTAAATGCTAATGGGCATTGTCAGCTGTTATATTCTGAAGTTTGTAAAATGGAAATCATTATTTTTTTACTGATGAATAACCAAAGAGAAAAAAATTATCAATATAATTTTGTTAGTGCATTCATATGTGCAAGTACTGTGTTAAAATGATATCTAGATATGACACTTTAAAGCATATTTGCTTATTGTCAAAAAATAAATTTACAGCAATTAATTCAGTAAATTAAACAGCTGTATTCTTTATGCCTCTCAGTTGCATAGATCTTAAAGAATCACAAAATTATAACAGTTTACCAAATTTCCTCCATAATATGTCTGCCACATAAATTAATGTATTTTTATTCTAATATGAAACTCACTAAAATCAAAGTCAGTTTTCCTCTTTTTTTCTATTTTATTCATGCATATTCATTTGGTAAATAGATATCATGTGTGATAAGTATGAAATATCTTTACTTTAAAAATTATGTAATAGAATATATATCATTTATTTCAGTTTTTATCTTAATTTTTCAACATTTTTTTCAATATTTGTATAAGACAATCAAAAAGATTCTAATTCATATTTACAAATTTCATTTTCTTTAAAGTCACAATTTTTATCAATTTGTAGATGCTGGATGATTTATAGTCACTAACAAGTTTTAAGACACACTGTTTTATGACAAGGATTTTCCTTCCATTTACATAAGTCAGAAAAGAATTAACCAGTGATAAACAAAGAAAGAGGTATAAATACAAGTTACAAAATAAAATTTCCACATTTACCTTGATAAATTCCTTTTTAATTATCTGCCTATATTTCTGAGATGAGATATTATGATTACTTGCATTATTTACATTACTGGGATTGTTAACCTCACCTTTATTGTCATACTCACAACGTTTTGGTCATTGTATACTCTGGCCTTCTTCAGGTGATTGGAATTTTGAACCGAAATCTTGATAAAGACATTGGTTAGATCCAGTGACTAGACCCAAAGAATTGTTAGTTCAATACCAGGCCACAGCAGTGGTGAACCAAAACTTAGAGAGTTGAGTTAAACTGAGACATCTGGAAGAGGCATGGCACGTGGAACTAAAACAATCTACCGCAGCTAATCACTCTCTGTAATCACAATCTCTTATACTTGAAAAGATAATACAAGAACTTTATCTACAACTTTCTTAAAAATGAAATGCAACTGATTATACAACCTCTGTAATTTTATCTTCTGCTTCTTCCAATTTAACTTCCAGTTCCTGCTTGGCTTGGGACAATTTGGTCTGTTCAGCACGCAGAGAAGAAATATCTGTGATAAGCTCATCATGTTCACTCATGATACCATCCTTAACAACTTGAACATTTTGTAGGCTAGAAAAGAATTTTTCTTGTTAACAGTTCCATAATGACTTGGAAGATTATAAGTATGTTCCTCTTATTCTTGTCCACACAAAATGAGAATACTTGACATCAATTTCTTATATTCAAGGTCATATTTATACAATACCCAATGTGTATCAAGCAATGTTTCAGCACTTTTGTAAATCCAAATCCTCACATTTTGAATTTTTTATCAGAAGGATCAAATACTTACATTTCTGGAACAAACATCAAAATCAGTTCACTAATCACTGAAGGTTTACAGTATGAAAAAAAAGGATTGGAAATTTGTGTAAATGAAATGAAAGAAAAATATTGTTTGCTTATTTTTTCATTGTGTTGACTTTAAATATTTGTTATAGAAAATTTTTAAAATAATACAATCTATGTGCTTCTTTGAATTGTAAAAAATAAAATGTTATTATGCCAAAACACTTCACATTTTTCATACAAGAAAGCAAGAGAAAATGTTTCAAATTTGATAAAATACAAGTTTGGAAAATGGAGTGAAAAAGAAAAATGTTGCAGCTACTTGACCATTACTTACTTCATTTCAAGCAAACTTAATAAAAAGAAAAACTTAATAAAAAGAAAACTGTAATAGTCATTGTTTTTTTGTTTTTTTCATTGTGAAGAATATATTTGGGTAGAAAATTTTATGTGCAAAATAGAATATTTTTTCTTTTCAAAAAAAGAAATTTTCATCTACTGATGTAAAGGAATTTAATTACTAATTCTTTCAAGTCATACACTCAAGATATTTTTAATTAACAAGATCGAAGGCCAATAATTTTTAAAGTACTTCTACTTAAGCTTAACTTCAACATAGAAGCTTAATTTTTATATAAATATTATTTTATGAAAAATTAACCAAAAATTGTAATTTTTTCCTTTTCCAAATATATATATAAAAAAAGATATTCCATTTAAGAACTACTTTTGATGCCAACTTCCAAAGTAAACAAGCATCAAATTTGTCTAATTTATTTTTTACCTTTCATCCTGTGTCATGCTCAAACCCTCTCCTTGTTGCACCAAACGACTCAGATTTCCAATTTCAACCTTCAGTGACTCAACTGTCTCTTTGTAACGTTTTTCTTTTTCTTGGTTTTGATCCAAAAGTTTCCAGGCCTTTTCAACTTCCTGTCAAATAGAAGACTATGCTATAAAACTATAGCCAAATAAAATCACAGATAAATGCTCATCAGTTTGAACTGCTCACTGTGTAAAATATCAAGTTACAATTTATTTTATACAGAAAGTCTAGTCAAATAAGAGTAAAAACAAATAAAAAAAACTTTTGACATACATATATATGTAAAATCTTTTGTGTGCAACCACAAAATCTTTTTGTGGAAACAAATTGGGGTGGGGTGGGGGAGAAATAAAAATACATTTACAATTCTTTTAAATTTATACTCTAAAAACATAAATGTATAAGAAAAAACAATATTTTAAATCTGATGCCTCTTGTTACTAAGTTGCTGTTGGTTTGTGAGCATATAACTGTATATTGATGGAATTACTCATGCTCTAATTATGTAGGAGCAGTTGAGAAAATACTGTTTAAAGTGTGAAAGGATAATTTTCTCTGATACTCAGTATTATGAATTTTACATTTACTTTCATAAAATAATTAGAATTGATTAAAATACCAACTATTAATATGATTTCTAGTATTTTTACATATGATTAAGTAAGGATTATTTCATTATGTATATGTCTACACATACTGTGAGAAAGATTCTTTTTACTTAATCTAAATCTAGTCTAATCCAATTCAAACGACAATCATTCTAAGCAGAAAATTACTTCAATAAGTGCTAGAAATTAGAAACTGAGTAATTAATAAGTCTTTGAATTTGATAGGCTTATTTAGTTATTTTCAATGAAGGCAATAGAACTAAAAGGAAACTGATTGAAATGATGTGCAAGTTTATATCTTCTTGTAGATAAGAAGGAAAATCAATAGGAAATTCCACAAAAGCGTTTCTCTTTATTTCTTTTTTCACCTGTTTAAGTGATGTAATCATTGTCTTATCTTCCTCCGAAAGGGTCATCAGTTGGGTAACTTTGGTACCATGGGTCACCATCTCAGCATTCAGCTCTCGGCATTTTTGCATCAACCGTTTTTCATTTTCATGTGATTTTTTGAGGGCTTTATGCAGTTTTTCATATTCCACATGGAATTTTTCCAGAGTATTATCACCCATAAGCTCTTGGATAACCTGTATAATAAATATAAATCAGAAAAAAATAAAAAAAAACAATAGAATATTTTCAAGATAAAAATAAGAAGTAGTGAAAAGAAAATTAATTCTGGAGATAGAAACAACAGATAAATGTTCTGCTTTAAAAAAAAAAAATTATGATGTCTGATGAATTTTTAAACTAAACTTTATTTGTATCGACTATGAATAGAGTGATTAGAAATTTACATGCTATTATTTAGTTCTATTCTTACTCATAGTACTTCTTCACACTAGGAGGTTTCAAAATTGAAATTTTGTATACTTAATCTTCATTAACTTTATAAGGCATACATTAACCAAATTCTTTAAACCAACTTTCGATTTTACAATTTCCATCCATTTTGACTAAAAGTTAGCCAATAATAAATTATATTTTTTATATGAATTAAATTTTACACTTTGAATCAAATATCTCTTGCTCTACATAATTTTCTTCAGATTTTTCATTTTTCATATGGAAATATACTAAAATGCATCATTTTTTTTATATGATGTTTTTCTTATAGAAATATACACAAATGAATATTTTTCTCCAGATTTCATTTTTCATTTAGAAATATGCAAAATGCATAAATTTTTTCAGATTTTCTTTTTCATTTAGAAGTACACAAAAATGCACCATTTTCTTCAGATTATCTCTTTTATATATATGTAAAAATGTTATATTTTCCTCAGATTCCTTTTTTGTATAGAAATAGGCAAGTATGCTTCATTTTCTTAACATGTATTTTTATATATAAATATGCACAAATGTGTCTTTTTCTTCAAATTTCGTTTTTCATTTAGAAATGCAAAAAATAAATAATTTTCTTCAGATTTAGTCTTTTGAATTCAGAAATATATTGAAAAGCTTCATTTTTTTTCAGATTTTGCATTTTTATATAGAAATATGCATAAATGCATTATTCAGATTTTGCCATTTGTATAACAGAGATATGGAAAATGATTCCTTTTTCTTTAGATTTTGCAATTTCATATAGAAAATGCAAAAATGCTTCATTTTATTAAGATGTATTTTTTGTATAGAAATATGTAAAATGTGTCATTTTTCTTCAGATTTTGTCTTTTTAATTTAGAAATATGCAAAAATGCATCATTATTATAAGATTTAGTTTTTTTCATATATATATATTCACTTATGCTTCATTTCCGTTAGATTTTGTCTTTTTATATGGAAATAACTGCAAGTGCATCTTTTTCTTCCGATTTAAACATTTTCATTTAAAAAGTTGCAAAATTGCATTATTTGTTTCAGATTTTGTCATTTTCAGAAAGAAATATACAAAAATGAGTAATTTTCTTCAGAGTTTGCTTTTTTTATATAGAAGTGCACAAAATGTGACTTCAAATTTTTTGGGGAAATATCCAAAAATGCTTTATTTACTTAAGGTATTCCTTTTCATATAAAAATATGCATGAATGTTTCATTTTCTTGAGATTTTCTCTTTTCTATGTAGATTTATGCTTAGATGCTTCATTTTCTTTGGACATTGTCTTTTTTACAGAATTGTGTAAAAATACATCTTTTTCTTTAGATTTTGTCTTTTTTATTTGAACATATCCAAAAATGCTTCATTTTCTTAAGATATTGCTTTTTATATAGGAATATGCATAAATGAGTCATTTTCTTCAGACTTTGTCATTTACATTTAGAAATATGCTGAAATGATTCATTTTCTTCTCATTTTTATCATTTTCATTTTCTTTACATTTTGTTTTTATAATAATGACGCAAAAATGCGTCATTATTATAAAATTTAGTCTTTTCATATAAACTTGCAAATATCTTTATTTTTATCAGATTTTGTCATTTTATACAGAAATATGTGCAAGTGCATCTTTTTCTTCAGATGTAAACATTTTCATTTAAAAAGTTCAAATTGCTTAATTTGTTTCAAATTTTCTCATTTTATTTAGAAATATTGTTTCAGATTTTGTCATTTTCAGAAAGAAATATACAAAAAGGAATCATTTTCTTCAAATTTTGCCTTTTTATATAAATGTACAAAAAATACGATTTTTCTTCAGATTGTGTTTTTTTCATTTAGAAATTTTCCAAAAAGTACTTTTCTTCAAATTTTGACTTTTTCATTTAGAAATATACAAAAATGTGTCATTGTCACCACATTTTGCCTTTTTGTATAAAAATATGCACAAATGCATCTTTTTCTTCAGATATGTATTTTGGAAATATCCAAAATCATTTTCTTGAGATATTTCTTTTTTGTATACAAATATGGAGAAATGTGTCATTTTCTTCAGAATGTCATTTGCATTTAGATATATGCTGAAATTATTCATTTTTTCACACTTTGGTTTTTTTTTTTAGATAGAAATATGCAAAAATACTTTTTTCTTAAAATTTTACATTTTATTTAGAAAAATGCATCATTTCCTACAAATTGTTTCTTTTTCATTTGGAAATATCCAAAAATACAACACCCCCTTAAGATCTTGCATTTTATATAGAAATATGCTGAAATGATTTGTTTTCTTCAGACTTTGCCTTTTTCACTTAGAAATATAAGAAAATGCATTATTTCCCTCAAATTATGTCTTTTCCAAATAGAAATATGTAAAAATACTTCTTTTTCTCAGATTTTGTCTATTTCATATAGAAATATTCAATAATGCTATATTTTCTTCAGATTTTGTGTTTTTATATAGAAATATGTGCAAATATATGATGACAAAAACTGAGGGAAAGATGCATTTGTGCATATTTCTATATAAAAATATATATGGACAAGAAAAAATCTGATGAAAAAGATGCATTTTTATAAATATGTAAATATTTGTTGTATATCTATATAAAAAGACAACAAAAAATGAAGTTGTTTGCATAATTCTATATGAAATGATAACATCTGAAAAAATAAACAGAACAAAAAATGACAAATTTTTGAGTATTTCATTATAAAAAGACAAAATCCAAAGAAAATGAAGCATTTTTGCATATGAAAAAACAAAATCTGATGAAAATGACACATTTTTGCATATTTGATTATGACAAAGGCACAATCTGAAAAAATTGTTACATTTTTGCATATTCCTATATAATAAAATTCTTAAGAAAAAAACGCATTTTTCACATTTCTGTATTAAAAAGAACAAAAATGACAAATGTTTGAGTATTTCAATATTTTTTATATTGAAATACTCAAAAATTCATCATTTTCTTGTTTTGTTATTTTTCATATAGAAATGTGCACATACCACAAGTCCGAAGAAAATGGCGAATTTTTGAAAAAAATAAAATCTGACAAATTATGAAGCATTTCTGATGAATATGAAGCATTTTTCCATATATCTATATGAGAAAGAAAAATCTGAAGCAAAAGACGCATTTTTGCATATTTCTATGTGAAAGGCAAAATCTGAAAAAAAATGCATGCTTCATTTTTTTCAGAGTTTCTTATTTATTGAGAGCTATGCACAAGTGTCGTTTTCTTCATGTTTAGTCTTTTTCATATAGAAATATACAAAAATGCGTCTTTTTCAGATTTTTTTGCATTTTTGTGCTTTCTTTTTATATAGAAATATGCATAAATTCTCTTCCGATTTTGTAATTTTTGTTGCAGTTTTTTGTGTATATATATATATATATATATATATAACTAGTGAGCCAGTCAAAATGACTTGACTCACTTTATAGTCCACCAATAGAAGTTTAACCAATCAGAAGACGTAGAATTTTCAATCCATCGTGTATAAAGGCGGCCATTTTGTTCACTCTACCCGAATGCCCAGTCCAGCTTGTCAGGCGAAGAGAAACAGAAGAACGAACTATGCTCTGCTACTTTTACCAAAATATCCACTGCTAACCTGAACAACGCTTTCCTACTGTCTTCGAAATATTCACTGCTAACCTCTGGATTCTATACTCGAAGACGACCGTCATCATGAACAACAATTTTCATTTAGAAAAGTGGAAATACATCATTTACTACAGATTTTGTCTTGAAAATACATGTTTCTAAACATACTGAAATGCTTCATTTTCTTCAGATTTAGTCTTTTTTATAAAGAAATATGAAAATATGCTACATTTTCTTTTGATTTAGTTTTTTTTATTTAGAAAGATGCAAAAATGTTTTACTTTCTCAGGTTTTGTCTTTTCCATTTAGAATCATGCACAATTCTGTCTTTTTCTTCAGACCCTGGCTTTTTTATAATGAAATGTAGAAAATTGCTTAATTTTCTTCAGATGTTGACTTCTTATATATAAATATCCAAAAATTTGTCTTTTCTATATATGCAAAAACACAGATTCAAATTTTGTCTTTTTTCATGTAGAAATATGCGAAAATGCTTTATTTTCATCAGATTTTGTCTTTTGTATTTACAAATATGCTGCATTTTCTTCGGATTTTGCTTTTTATATGTAAAAATGTTTCATTTTCTTCTGATTTTGCTTTCTTATGTACAAATATGCAAAAATGCCTAATTTTCTTCAGATTTTTTCTTTTTATATATGGATATGTGCAAAAATGATTCATTTCTTCAGTTTTTGTCTTTTTCATATATAGAAATATGCAAAAATGCTTAATTTTTCTGCCTCTTTTCCCTTTTCATATAGAAATATGGAAGAATTTGTCATTTTATTCTGATTAAGTCTTTTCCATGTAGAAATATGCGAAATGCGTCATTTTCTTCAGATTTTGTCTTTTCCATATAGAAATATACAAAAATGATTGATTTTCTTCAGATTTTGCTCTTTTACACTTAGAAATAAACAAAAATGCGTTTTTTTCTTCAGATTTTTTTTTCTATAAAAATATATGGAAATGCTTCTTTTTCTTCAGATTTTGCCTTTTTATATAGAAATATGCACAAATGCG